GCTAGTGATCCTGATCAAGAATATATATACTTTACGTTGTCGGAAACGCTTCCTTCTGCCTGTTACATACTTTCCAACGAATCTAGTATACCCAATACATCCGGTTTGAGGTAACATACCTTGGCCACGCGCTTAGCCATTTCATTTCGATTTTGATTGTAAACGAGGCCAGTCCAAGTTAACAAGCACAAAAAATGAAGTTGAAAAAAAAGTACTTTTTTGTAGAGGAACCGGACGTGCAGATTTTCTCTGTACCAGGAAGAACTTCAAGTTTGACACCTGTAACAAAGTTCTCCATCATGTGTAACAAGGGTACACCTAGTTTGCAGGCCTCTCCCACCTTCCCAAAATTTGTGCAAGCTATTACTGGCAACGATTCGATGATAGAAAGTGGAAGGATCTACTACCATAACCATCCAGTGCCAAGAAGTTCCCAGAGAGTCCCGCATCTACTACTTTGCCACACTTGTTTCAGCCGGAAACATATTGCCAGAAGTCTAGCCGCACATATTTTTCGAAGTTGGACAGTAATTCGCACACAAAGGAAATCGCGCTGTTAAAACCCAACTGATCGGCAACGCGGTTAAAATGTAAAATAAGTAACAAGGGGGTAAATTTATAAGTTTATTTTTTTTCTGGTCGTACATATTAATACCCTTGCAGAGGCTATTATGATTACAGTCAGAAGTTTGCAACGCAGTGAAGGAAACGTTTCCGACCCCATAAAATATACATATTCATAATCACCATCACTAGACGAGTCGATCTAGCCATGTCCGTCTGTCCGTCTATTTCTACGCAAACTAGTATCTCAGTTTTAAAGCTATCGGTCTAAAACTTTCCCAAAAGTCTTCTTTCTTTTGCAGGGAATATATAAGTCGGAACCAACTTGATCGGACAACTATATCTTATAGCTGCCGTAGAAATAATCAAAAAACAAATTAAAAGAATTATATCTTTGGTGTTTTTTAACATGTAACTTCCTAAAAATAACATTTTTTAATTAGTTCTGAATTGGTGGGAAAATAATATGAAACAAATTACAGCTTCAGTGTTTTTTGACATATTATCTTATACTATTGGGAACATCAAATCGGACGACTCTAACATATAGCTGTCAAAGAAACGGTCAGAGAAATAATACAATAATTATTTAAAAAAAAATGTTTGCTTTTTTGATTTTGATCGTAATTTCTTTTACTCTGGGATATAAAATATTTTATCTTTTCAGCATTATGAATTTTATTTTACACAAATATCACTGAAGCTAGGAACAATTCTTAAAAATATAACATGGTGTTACTAACATTGATTATTTCTTATAACTACAAGGGTATACAAACTTCGGCTTGCCGAAGTTGACTTCCATTCTTGTTTTTTAATGTGATTAGAACAGAAGAACAAATATATTGAAATGGAAAGAAAGAAAATTTAAGGCAAACAAGGCAAAAGTGTTAAAAAAATAAAATGTTGCGGACATAACGTAGAAATCAACGAAAAAATTTAAAGTGAAAAGAAAGAAAGAGAAAAAGAGAATAAGAATAAAATATCAAGAAAAAAGAGGATCGTGCGTGTATTAAATAAAATTAAATAATATCCCTAAGTTAAAAAAAAGGAAGTAAAGTTAATTAAAAGCAGAAGATAGAATGACGTCATTGTGCACAAGGAGCATGAAAAACCCCCTTTTTTCCAGCCATCGCCGCCGCATCGCCTTTACGTTTTTTTTTATTGAAAGTTTATATTTGACTATATTCTTTCCCTTTCGTGCCCTTGAATGGCGTAACTGATCTAGGCCAAGCGCTGCTCAATGCTAACCATCGTTATACATTTATACATACATATGATTCATTTCTATTGTTTTCTCATTAAATATAAATTATTACAAAAGTGATTTTATTATATTTTAATTTATTTGTTAGTAACCGTTAGGGCAGCTCCCAGTTTTAAGTTAAAGCCGCCCTTGGTTTTTCCTGGTTGGTGGTGTTCAGTCGCGTTGGTCTTTCCCATAGATGGTACGGCTGGTGCTTTCTTCAAAACCTTATGGTGGTTGATGTAAGGGGTACCATTAGGTTTATTTTGTCGTCAAAGGTTATCGGAATGTTCCAAAAACAGCTTGATGAGTAGTGCCGCTTGTTATATTTGCGGCAGCATCATTTAGGACTGGCATGCCCTCGTCGATCATAACTAAGGGTTGCAGGTCACCAGTTGTTGACCGCACGTTGAGTTTCCACGGCCTTGCAAAAGGTGGTTTACACGGCTGTGTCGCAGTTCGAAAGGGCCAAAAATTCGTTCCCCGCAGTCAGCTAAAGTGTTATTGTGCTGAACGTCGTAAATTATTAATTTTGTATACCGCCAGCACATCAGCCACACTGACATTTGTAAGGTGTTCATTGGTTATCTCTCCGACCTCAATGTTGTCTAAAATAACTGGGCCCAATATATTTAGTTTTGCCAAAGCTATAGCTGTGATGAGATTTTTTAATTCAGTTATTACTGAGTCTAATTCACCTGACTTGCTAATGAAGTTTATTCGTTGTGACAGGACATGGTTAAATTGAGTTTGAATTTTGCTATTGATGTGTATCTGATTGTTCTCAGCCTGTATTAATTGTAATTGTCTAAACTTGATTTACTCCCAATCCTCAAAATCTGGAATCCCTGCTGTTACTTTTAATGCAGACCCTAGCATGTTAACACAACGGCTTTATCTGTGGTATATTTTAATTGTGTCTATTAATTTACGGATTTTTAGAATGCCGGAAAGTATGACCAGTACCTTATGCTTTCTTGGTAAGGTTTTCGTTAATGATGATGTCTCGTCTACAAAGGTCCCATAAAAGGATATACTAGCTGTGTGTCCAAGGTATCCGTACTCGTCCCAGATAGTTACGTCCTTGTCGATCACCGGTTTGTAATCAGCGTGTGAATAGTCACTAAGTCGAAAAATCGCGTTCGTGGTCAGTACTGTCAGGAGGAATATGACGATATGGTTTAGCCTAAAAGGAACAAAAGGAAAATGGTTAATACTAATATTTCTTAATCTATCTTAGGCTGTCCTTATGGACCACTCTCCCCTTTATTATATCCGTTGTCCCCATGTCCGCCTCAACGGTTTCCTTGGAACAAAGTGGTGATAATTTGTTTCCTAGCCGTTTATTTGATTTTATCCAAGCTTTGTCCCCTACCTGAAAACTTTTGTAAGCCCTGTCTTTGTTAACGTGGTCCACGGTTTTTTCCTGAGCTATTTGTATTTTTTTCTTTAATTTATATTTCAAGTTCGATAGGGGTTGAATAAATAACTTCGACAGGTTTTGTAATCTATAGTTGCTAATAGCACTATGTCAATGGTATCGTTAATTTTTCTGCCTAATTTTAGGCAACGAGCTATCTCGGCAAACGTACTAGAAAACCTTCTACCGTTCCGTTTGAGGTGCAGAGGTGGGACATTTGCAATACTAATTCCAAAGATTCTTGTTTTGATTAAGAGAGCGTTCGTTGTCGCAGTATAGGGTTTATATTTTTGGAAACAGACTGACAAGTTGAAGTAAAGGTGTTTTAATGTCTATAATTGCTCGTGAGCTAATGTGTTTAACGGAGGCAAACTTAGGGAACTTGTCCACGGCGGTTAAAAAATATTTTCCGTCCGTAGAAAAAATATCGACGTGTAAAATTTCTCCTACGTAGGTTGGGACGGGTGTTTTAGCAATAGCCTGTTTTTCAGGATAACGACTGTATTTCCCTTTCGAGCATACTCTACAATTCGTTACTACTTCAGTAACAATTCTTGTCATTTTGGGAAAGAAGTAGTCTAATAGTATTTGTTTAACGTTTTCTTGATCCGCTCGATGTGCTCAGTCACAGCTATTTCGAGTTGCTCTGATTTGTCGGTTACGTCAATTACAAGAAATTTCGAATATCTAAACACTGTCGAGGGGAATTCCTGAATCAAAGGGTGTGCGAGAACAGGAAGTTCGCAATATATTAAGACCTCACGACGTCTCTTAGGAGATGTAGTAGAGTGTCCTTGTCCCTGAACTGAATAATAAGTCTCATTTTTATTTATTGGCCTCACGACGTCTTTTAGGAGATGTAGTAGAGAGTCCTTGTCCCTGAACTGAATAATAAGTCTCATTTTATTTTGGAGTAGAGCATAGTTTTTGGTTGCTGGATGCAGTGATTCTTCAATCACAATTTGATTTGCAAAGCAGTTTACCGGTCTGTCCGTTGTTTCAATGGTGTATGTCAGGGACTCTCCACTGTAAATAGTGGTGGCGTCAGAGTCACCACTATCTTGTAGCGCGTTTAAATTTTGGCGGGAAAGAGCATCCGCCACTTGATTCTGTTTGCCAGGCGTATAAACGGGGTATAAACGACCGTTGCATTGTGCTCGTCGACAAACGCTTTCCAGCGTATTATTTTGTCGTTTGTGTTTTTTCGTAATACAGCTGATGTCAGGGGCTTGTGACCTGTGTAGATCGTCAAATTTTATGCCCCATATAGATAGTTTCTTAAACTCTTTAGCGCCCATACTATGGCTAAGAGTTCCTTTACATTTGCCGCCAGGTGTTCCTCGACATTGCGAATTGCGTGCGAAATCATGGTAAGGGGCCGTCCATAAACCACGTGGACAAATTTTAAGCACTTTTTGACCCCCCCTCGTGGACAATCGTGGATTTTCAACTAACCCGCCCCCGCCCCCCATTTTGTCCACGTGGACTTTTTCATTGAAAAATTTTTTTTTCTTATTAAAAAAGATATCTGTAGAGATTTTTAAAAATGGTAAATAAATAGAAGTTTAATAGTATTTAGAAACATTTTATCATTTTTTTATTAATTATGAATACTATCTTTGGTTTAAGGTAAAAGAACTTAAAAAATGTAATAGTCATCATTAGTGATTTCATTTGGGTCTTTGATGGTCCATGGTTGTGTTAACCAATCTTCAATGTTATCAATTGGAACATAATTAATTTCGCTCTCCACCTCGACACAGGACACTTCTAAAAGCTCCGTTTCTTCATTTTTTCATCGTCCATTTGTTTTTTACGCCCCTGTGAATGAAGGGCTTTAATGTGATCAGTTACGTGAGATTTTGCAGCAAAATAAACTCCGCAATATTTGCAAATGCGTTCTAAAATTTAAAAAATAGTTCGTTAGTTAATAAAAATATTTCCAAACAATAGTAGTTTTTAAGGGAGTACGTACCTTTCAGTACAGGCAGTACTGTAGGGCAGTACAAAACATAAGGGAGATTTTGAGGTAAATCCTTCCCTTGAATTTTCAAATTAGTCGCTTGCCTGACAAACAAAGAAGGAAATTCATCTTTGTTTTCTACTTCCGAAGTATCAGGAGTTTTTAAACCATCTTCAGTGCGTCGAAGTGGAACAGGTGGAGGAAAGAAACCTTCTGCCAATATTTGCTTTATGTCACTGCGCGTCGAACTACAGCAAGCAATTTCATCACATTTGACGATCTAATAGAAAAGGACAGTATAATTTTTAAAAATTTCATAAATAGATATATAATAATAGCTTTAAGAAGATAGTTCTACCTGAAAAAAATACTGGCTTTCACGAACATGTATTGCGAACCATTCTGCTGACGGCATTTCAGGAAGCGGTAGCTTGCTGTCAGTGTCGCCAAATTCAGCTATCACTGAATGACCATCAATTTCCAATGAATTCCATATTTCGGCAAGGACTTCGCCAGCTTTCTTAAAATTGATTTCTTCTAGTTCCGAATCTATGGTCTTGCCAGCAGAATTCAAATGACTCCCGAAATGATCGTGGGGGAGTATGACACCAGACAGTTCTTTACTCAAGGGCGCCATTCTTCGCTCAACGCGGTTAAACGCACTGCGCCCTGGAGCGTTAGTAAATACAAAGAGTGCATCCAGGTCATACTCCCTAAAATTCTGCACTGCGTATCTGATCACCTGTGGATACCGGTGGTTCTAGTCAGGACCCCCATCCACAGACAAGGCGAGCACGGGCTTCACGATGCCATTAACTAAAAAAACAATCATTATTTTAAACTGTCCTGTTTAATACTTTATATTACCTGATTACCTTTTAATAAATCATCGAATTCTTGCAAAGCCATTAGTTTTCGGAGATCGAAAGCATGACTGGAAGCTGATGTTGACGAATGTTTTCCGCTTCGAAACGCTACATATGTTGGTCCAGAGTATGAAACATTTGATGGTGAACCATCAAGTTTGGCTTCGCGGATGACAATGCCCGCATACACGCTTGGAATCAGCTGGTGACGTTCGGCAACTACCCAATCATGATCTGGAAGTGTGATCTTGTCATCCTGCGAAATCAATGCCGCTTGTTTTGGTCCGAGAAGTGACAAAAGCGATTCAACAGATCTAGAAATGAATTTAAAAAATAAGTATAGGACTAAAATTATCTTGAAAAATAAGTATCGTAAAGTTCAATTTTTATTAAATGATTAGAGTAATCAAATATCATAGGCACAGTAATTATGAACATAAAGAAATAAAAAATATTAGGAAGAACTGAATCATTTACCTAATGCTCGCAACGCAAAACTTTCCATCTGGATGATCTTTATGGTGATTTGTATTCGCACGACATAACTTCACCGGCACAGTAACAACGTGACGTTTTCCTTCGCTCGTTCGAGAATCTCGTGGTATGAGACGTAAATAAGTAGCACTGCGCGATAAATGATAGCCCATTATGATCATCTCCTCCTGAAGCTGAGTCAAAGTTTTATCGAACGTGTTTTTTCAGTTCTTCGGCGTTCATCTGCTGAGCTGCCGATTAATGCAATGTCCATAATAGTCTTTAGCAACTCATGTTGGTCCTCTTCCAAACGTGGACGTCCTATTTTCTCTCACATCTAAAGTATTTAATGAAAATAATTGTAATTTTCAGTAGAATGTTCATAATTTGCACATTTTCTTCATTTTATTATTATTTCTTTTTAATTAATTTTTATCCGACGTTGAATAATTAACAGAAATCAATTAATAATTATTTATCATGTCAAATCTTATTTATCTTTACTATTTTTATAATATTTTAGTTTGTATATAATATTAATCTAAAATCATCAACAAAAATCAAAGATACCTTCAATTGTTGAGATAAAGTTGGATTACACCAGTTTACAAAAAAAAATTGATGAAATACGCCTTTCAGGAAACCTTTGTTTTCCGGTAAGATACATCTCCCTGATTAAGAAAAGGGCACTTAAAATTTTTTCTATGGTACCAATTTTTTTTAAAGTGTAAAAAACGTTTTTCGCACTTTTTTATTTTATAACTCGAGTTGTGATAAACCGAATTCGGTCATTAAGGACTCATTTTACAGGTTATAGAATGCCCTTTAACTTTCTTATACACATCATTAAGTTCCATTCATTAGTTCAAAAGCTACACTTCGTCAAAGTTGAAAAATTTGGAAAAAAATCAAAAACGCTGGCATAAATGGCTTCTTTAAAAATACACGCGTAAAAACCGAAATTAGTTTTACGTTGTTTTCTTGATGGCTGAACCATAACGGAGAATATGCGCCATAGATCACGACAATCCGTTGGTAAATCGATTTTTAACAGATTTTTAAACGTATATACCCAAGTTCATTATTCGGGAGCAGCGGCCGTTAAACGTTATTTTAAATTTTCAGTGTTGGGGAACGTAAGAATTTGGTGCAAGTTGTTATGCATAACGTCAGTTTCCTTGCTAAAAATATATGAAAATGATTTCCTCGTAACTGCAATCGCATACTCTTTAGCTTGCCCAGCGCTAATAGCAAAGAAACTGACGTTATGCATAACAACTTGCACCAAATTCTTACGTTCCCCAGCACTGAAAATTTAAAATAACGTTTAACGGCCGCTGCTCCCGAATAATGAACTTGGGTATATACGTTTAAAAATCTGTTAAAAATCGATTTACCAACGGATTGTCGTGATCTATGGCGCATATTCTCCGTTATGGTTCAGCCATCAAGAAAACAACGTAAAACTAATTTCGGTTTTTACGCGTGTATTTTTAAAGAATCCATTTATGCCAGCGTTTTTGATTTTTTTCCAAATTTTTCAACTTTGACGAAGTGTAGCTTTTGAACTAATGAATGGAACTTAATGATGTGTATAAGAAAGTTAAAGGGCATTCTATTACCTGTAAAATGAGTCCTTAATGACCGAATTCGGTTTATCACAACTCGAGTTATAAAATAAAAAAGTGCGAAAAACGTTTTTTACACTTTAAAAAAAATTGGTACCATAGAAAAAATTTTAAGTGCCCTTTTCTTAATCAGGGAGATGTATCTTACCGGAAAACAAAGGTTTCCTGAAAGGCGTATTTCATCAATTTTCTTTTGTAAACTGGTGTTATTTGCAATCAATTTTTTAATTGTCGTCTTTTTTTGAAGTCTATATTTTTTTTCGTGTTTTGCTTTTTTCTCGACAGAAGTTTTTTCGATGTTCTTAATTTTTCTTCCAATGCAGTGATTTGTTTATTCGTGTCTTCTTTATAAAAACCGGCATCTCTTGCTCGTTTAGCGTTGTTGATTTAATGTTCAGGTAGGCATATTTCCTTTGTTATGTTTTCTTGTGCAGGACATGTCCTTTTTTGAAGTTGCACGACGCTTTCTGGATTATCGACTTTATTTTCTTCATCAATGCTATTAATGGAAATAGCACGCCCTTTCTGCCGAGCTACATTAAATAAAAATTAAAAGTAATTATAAACAATTTTAAATTATTACAAGATTCTTAATATATATTTTACAAATTAGAACAAAGTACTTTGAACAGATAGTTTTAGAAGAATTATATAATTAATTAATTATTAAATAAATTACCTTTGGTTGGACTGTCTTCATCTATGCTTAAAATTTCTGCATTTTCACTACAAGGAGTAGGAAGGGTCACATTGCTATTATTAGTTTCGTCATGTGAATCCAAAGTCTTTAAGCTTGTGGAAGGTGAAGAACTGGAAAGCGGGTCAGGAGAGCTTTTTGAACTCTCACCAGTCTATGAAAGCAGAAATTTTTATTATTATTTATATTTTCATTGCAAATAACAAATAGGGAAGGATGAAGTCGTTAATATGTTTTTAAAGTGTGGCAACACCTTTATTGCGCTACGCAATTATAACGCGGGAATTCCCCTTTTTTCGGCTCACATATTCAATTTGCTTGCTTGATGTTTGTTTTTATATGTATAATATGTACATAAGAAACTTACCTTGAAGAAGAAATTTAAGAATCCAGTTTTTTTCCGTGTGGATTTAATTTGAAAATTTTCTATTAATTTTCTAATCTCAGCATGAAATTCACTATCACTTTTACTGAATTTTGATTTAGATCCTTGCCACAACGGCATAAAGCAGCACTTTTAAATGAATGATTGCTTTTATAAGCTAAATATAATTGATGATATAAATCACCATTTTTGGAAGACATTTTTTCATCGACACGGGTTTGTTATGATTCTACACGTGTGGACCTGCCGGCCGGCCGTTGTATTTACTTATTCGGAATTCAGTCGATAAATATAGAACGAATTTGATAAATATATCGAATGATCTGCGCAGCGCTGTATAATATACAGTGGCGCGAAATTTAAAAGTGGAATAAATAACATAAAGGTTAAAATTAAATTTTTACTATGTCCACGTGGACATTTACCTCGACCCCTCTCCCCCTCTCGTGGAAAATCGTGGACTTTTGACGAACAAGCGCATACCGGCGGTGCATAAACGACTTAGAATCTCATCAACATGTTTGATGTGATCCTCTTTTGTTTCGAAAAAGATTTAAGTATTGGTCTTTTCCTAAATTTGACAGTATTACCGATGTGTTAGGGATGAGGTACTTATCATCTTCGGTTTTTATACCCGTTACTCGTAGAGTAAAAGGGTATACTAGATTCGTCGGAAAGTATGTAACAGGCAGAAGAAATCGTTTCCGACCCCATAAAGTATATATATTCTTGATCAGGATCACTAGCCGAGTCGATATAGACATGTCCGTCTGCCCGTCTGTCGGTCTGTCCGGATGAACGCTGAGATCTCGGAAACTATAGGAGCTAGGCTATTGAGACTTGGCATAAAGATTCCTGAGCTTCATACGCAGCGAACATTTTTTTCAGCAGCGTGCCACGCCCACTCTAACGCCCACAAACCACCCAAAGCTGTGGCTCATACAGTTTTGATGCTAGAATAAAAATTTTAACTTAAATCCAAAAACCCAAAAAAAAGTTTGCCACGCCCACTTTAACGCCCACAAACCGCCGACAATCTTCAAAAAATTCTAAGTATGAACGCGGATATCACGGAAACTGTCAAAGATTGAGAATTGGGATTTCAGATTTAGATTCCGTAGCCTTGAGCGCAGTGCAAGTTTGTTACGCGAATATGCCACGCACACTCTAACGTCCACAAACCGTCCAAACCTGTGGCGTCAATACCTATCGATTAACCCAAAGATTAACCAAAAAAGTTTGCCATGCCCACTATAACGCCCATAACGCTTAAATCTATCTACCGCCCACATAACCATACATATATTGTGATTAGGGGTAAGGGACGCATTTTCGTCTCGCTTTGCTGCTTGCATACCTCCATTTCCCTTTTGTACCTTTAGCTGAGTAACGGGTATCTGATAGTGGAGGTACTCGACTATAGCGTTCTCCCTTGTTTTATTTAGTTTCCTAAAGTCAATAACCAGCCTCTTTTTTTGTGGCCATCTTTGGCAACACCCTTTTTGTCTACAACCCAGATGGGATTATTGTAGGGTGATTTTGATGGTCGAATAATGCTATCAGCAAAAAGTTGTTAAACCTCAGTGTTGACAAAATCCGATACTCCTTGAGTGTAGGGGTACATTTTTGAATAAATGGGTTTTTCATCAGTTGGGATTGTAGCAACCGTGTTTGTGTTATACGGCAGGGACTCGTTAGGGTCCACAAATGCGTTTGATCTTAACTTAATTATCTTTTGAAAAACAATTTTAATGACCATCGGTACGTCTTTATCGTCAACTTTTACAAAATGTACATCCTTAAATTCAGCAAATTGAAGGGCCTCTATGCCGCTATCATATTCTATAATGTGTTTTACTAAATTGTTTTTAGCATTGGCCGCCTTTAGGAAATCCAGACCCACAATGCCATCAAATTCCTTTTTTGAATTCGGAATCGCGTAACTTGTATATCTAAATTTATTTTTTAGTAACCCGTTAAGGCAGCTTCAGCTCTGTTTAGAAACTGAAATACAATTCACAATAAAACTGCGGCTCGCCACTCCATCGTTCGGCTAAGATGCTGATGACGCAATTGTGGACGCTGCGCCTCGTGACCATTCAGCGCTTCCATGGGCCATATCGGATTTCACCGGCCGGATTCCCGCTTTCGCGTGCATCCGGTGTTGGGCCCAGATCGATGACCTTAGTCGGGTTAACTTATATAAACTAAATGCAATTTATTAATACACCCACCGTGACATCCCCTTAACTAAAATTATCCCATTTTCTCTTGTCCTGTTAATTAATAGGTATGTACTGATATTTATTCACTGGAAAGAAATGTGACTATTTTTCCTTACCCCTTCTATTTTCAGCAACATTTCATAACTCAATGCCTTAAACTTAATATATATAAAAAGACAGAAAAAGCGAATGGATGATAAAATAATGTTTTTTTAATTAAACGTAATGAGTACAATAC